GAAATGTGTCCTGTGCCTTTAATATGTAAATCTATTGAAATCCACTCCTTGGCATCATGAGGGTCTCCATGCTTATTACTTTATGACATTTCCAGACTGAAGGTGCAGGAGGGGGCTCACATTAATTTGCTTTATGTTTGACTAGAGAGGCTTCCCATAACTATTAGAGCCCACTTTGGGCCCACCTCATTTTAGAGTTGTTGTCAGTCATTTGAGTGATATGCCCCGTGCCTGGGAAGAATAAACACATCATATATTAGGTAAAGCTTTGATATATGGGGGTTGCTGAATGCCAACACCTCTTTCTGAGGATAGGAAAAATCAGAATGTGAGAATGAGATTAGGGTAGAAAGGAATATGACAGACAGGGGCCTAGCCAGCCTTCCTGGAACTTTCCAGCTCAGAATAAACAGAATGCACAAAACCAGTGTTTGTTTTGCTTTTGCTTTGGTGTGTTGTACAGTGGTTGTTCTGAACAGTAGAATGAGATTGCAGCACACAATTTTGTTTCTTTTTGCCATTATCAAACTTTGAAATTAAACAAAACATTTAAAAGCTGATATTATACACTGGTCCAGAACATTTCAGTATCAACCACCTGTAATAATTGGCCAGAAATTGACTAAGGGTCAGCATGTAAATCCTCATATTTTGTCTTCTTATACTCCCAAGTGTTTCATTTTTACACACGTTAAAAAGTAGACTTTTAAAACATAATCAAAATTTGGTTTTAGAGCATAGGAAAATAATGGTCTGTTCTAGAAACTACAAATATTTTTTCACCTCTTTGGGTTACAGAATGAATTTATGATTAACTAGTATATTTTCAAGTCAGGAAGTCAATGAATTACAGAATTATTTAGTGAAAAGTTTCAAATTTCCAAAAAAGAAAGTTTTACCCAGAGGGATGTGTTTTATTTTTGCACATGCTCAGCATCAATTTGTTCTCCCTTATCCGCACTTCATCTTGAAGCAACTGTGTGTTAGCTGATTTGAATGCAGGCACTTCCACTCATGATACAGCTGGTTTTCATCCTAGACTACATGGTTCTTATTGAGAACTAATTATTTCATACAGCTTTAATACTGTTCAGAGTCTTGAGAATCTCATTGAATGACGATGGACATATATTATTACCTCACAGATTGTTTTAAACAGCCATATCTCACATTCTAATTGTATTGCCACTCTATAGCCCTTGCACTGCATCCTGCACACCAAGGAATCACCACCTCTCCTATTCTGTCATTTTGGTTAAGGAAAAAAACATGTTGCCTGCTTTTTACCAAGTGAATAACCCAAGGAAGTTCCATTTGTTAAAAGGAAGAATCTTATTTTAAAAATTACACATTACAGATTAAAATACCAGATTTCTCCCCAAGGCCACATATTTGAGCCTTTGGAAGAGAACTGGCCAAACAAAGGTCTATACCTCTTTTCTGCTGTTTGCCTTAAACAGCATGAAGACAACAGAGCAAGTTAAATGTGATGAAAATGGCTTTACTATATGTATGTATATAAGAAAAGAAATACACATGTATATATTTCAAGCAAGGGGATACATATTTCTATTCATTTTAAATAATCCCAAGATAACAGTGAGCCATAATGATGAAAGTATTGTAGCAGTTACAATAAATAAAGAGTAAAATAGTTTCTGTCTTAGAAAGAAAAAAGAAGATACTGGAGAACCCATATTTGCGTTTAATTTCCAATTTCTTGCAAGTGGACTGAGACTAGTAGTTTCTTATCAGAAGCCTAGAATCTTGATGCCTCATGATTAATAAATAAATATTACCCATAATTTCCTTCTAAGGATCTCTCCAAGTTGGTTAGTTAGGGTTATCTTGAAATATCTGAAAGGGATAAGATTAAACTACATACCTTAAAATATATAATGTGTATGTACTTATTTTTATAGCATTTATCACAATGGTTATCATTTACCTAATGTTTAGATTATATAATATTTCACTGACGTATTTATAACATTTCTAACAATGGTTAACATTTACCTATTGTTTACATTATGCCAATCACGTTGCTTAGGACTTTTGCTGCATTTCATAGTCTTAACAACCTAGATGTAGTCACTTTTGGCAATATCCAGCTAGTCATTTAGTTTTTGGGAAATTAGAAAAATAAAGTAAAATAAAGATGTTCATGAATCAATCTCCATACTGACATATTCTTATCAACATTGCCAATAAGGTTTTATCAGCCTCAGGCATGAGGCAAATCTATCTTATTAGTGTGAAAACTAATGAAAGATCATCCTAACAATGATAATTAATTGCAGTTGTTGACAAGGACTCAGTTCTTTTACACTCCTTTGCTGTTGCTCTTTCTTGATCTTTCAGTTCTCTTCTCTCAATTAGGCATATGAAAAGTTCGGCCCTCCCCTTTGAGAAAGAAGCTTTTAGATTAATCATATTATCTTAAGGTTCCAAATCTCCATGCCTGTGTGACCTTTCTTCCGTTAGAATCCATTATCTTAAACTATCACAATAATCCTGGCTTTAGGGAGGGAGACAGGGAAAAGGAATCAAACCTAATAGATGGCAAATAAGATTAATCTATGATCTAAGTGCCGATTACACTTGGCCCTGCCCTTGAACACCCAGGTGTAACCTTGAAATTCACATCTGCTAAGACACAGCAATTGGATTGAGTGTCCCTCAAGGCCTTAAGGGCAGCTGGCCAAACTTTACCCATTACTCCCCAGTGAGATCGTGGGCTGTCTCAACCTCTAACTCTTTTTACTTGTGGAATTTGGCAGCTGTGCTTTTTCATGTTTGTTTTGGGATAGTTCACATTTTTTAGATAAAATACTTATTTTGGGTCCTTGATTTTTGTTTGTCAGAAGCACCAGGCCATGGAGGGAATGAACTTTTACCTGGACCTCACAAGAGGAAAACAAATGATCCAGCTCCTCAGAATCTGATAGCTACACCAAAATAAATTTAGTCTCTGCTTCTTTCAAAACACTGACATACTGATTCTTAAAGCTACATATGTTTAAGAAAAACCAAGAGGAGAAAAAAAAAACTCCCCCTTGTAACATTTGTCATCTGAACTTTGAGCTGATTATTTTCTTCCACATGGCCTGAGGTCTTGGAAAGGACACCCTTTTGGTAAGATGGAACATGACATTGGGATGTCCCAGCTACTGGTGACATAGACAGGAAAAAGGATTATGTAGAGAAAGCAGTTTCAGCCAAAGAGAAGTATCACTGGCTCAGATAGAGGGAAGCAAAAGGAAAATGCATTCTCATTAAAAGTTGGCCCTGTCTGCAGACACTCAAAGTTGACCATATAGAGTGTTTTCTCATTATGATTCTGTGTTGTTAGACCTCTAAATGTATTGAAATCCTGGAATACAGAATAAAATTAAGTCCAAAATGAGAGTAAGAAGGAAAGTTAGGTCTAAACAAGGAAATAATAAGTAGACTTTAAAAATAATAGAGGTAAAATTTGGCATATAGAAAATATGACCATGCGTCCTGAAAAAGATAGCTGAATAAAAAATGCCAGGGATATCGATTAGTGAACTCATTCTCAAGCCATTCTTATTGGTGTTACACCTATGCTGGGAGTCTCTCTTTGGCATACTCCCAAGCCCAAGTTCTATCTAAAAACAGAACGAGTCTTGCAGTGTTCACTTTGTGAAGTTTTTCTCAACTGTTCTGTTAACAAAAATTAACACATATTTGTTTTAGTTATACTGAGATTTGTAGGACAAGGACCTCAGACCCACAGTTCCTGAGCAATTATTCTGTACTTTTTCTTGTCACTTTATAGTTTAATTGCTAAAGTATTAGAAATAAATTCAATCTCACAATAATCTCTATTTCCTTTTTTCTCTTTTAAAAGTAAATTATTGGATTTTTTTTTCTTAGTAAGTATAATGAAGTAGGTAGAAGCACTGTTTTTCAGAGATCACCCTTTGGAAACTTAATTGTGAAGCTTATTTATCAAGAAGATGTGGCTGGTTCAAAAATCCTGGGTGACACAGATTGCATGATCTAGACCTTGCCGTTTAACATGTCTGAGTTTTGATTTCCACAAATGTAAAAAGGAATATGGAAATAAGTCTATGTCAATCCAGGGTTGAAGATTCTATAATTACATGTATAAAACTGTCTGACAATAGCTGGCTGATTGGGTTGAATCCCAGCTCTGTTGTTTCTTAACTGTGTGACCTTGGGTAAACTGCTCAACCACGCTGTACTTTAATTTCCTTACTTGAGAGTAGGAATTAACAGTCTTTACCTTATAATGTTTTGTCGGGGCTTAAATGAGTGAAAAGAGGTAAACTGCTTAGAAGGTATTTAAGAAGTACTGTATAATTGTTTGCTATTATTGTTATCCTTGCTGTCATTATTAGAGTCAGTGAAAGATATTCTTTTTTTTTTTTTTTTTGTGGTGGGTGAACTCAAAAACACTGGAAAACAACAATACTACTGGTTCTTTAGATTTTTATAAGGATCACAGCTGAAAAAACATCAAAGAAATGAAGGATTCTGGAAGCTCTGGTAAAAACACAAAGGATTCTCCAAGGCTTCCTTTCTCTTGCGAGTTAGGACAGTGGCATTTTGGCTGAGTGTAGGAGCCCTTGTCAGCTGTCCTGGGAGGGTTAACTCACACCTAGGCGGGAGCCTGATGCCATTAAGTCGGGGACAGTAATGAAATTTCATTTGATTTGTCAGGAAGAAAGTGCTAATGTTAAAAGGCATTTAATAAAAAAGGGAGAGATTCTTTGAAAGGGAGTCCTTAAGTAATTACTTCAAGTGTCTTATGCCTACTCACCAGAATATTTACATTAGTGTCTTACAGTGCCAGTGTGTAATTAAATTAGTGCAACATTTACAGTCCCTGCTTTTTTTTTTCTTTTAAGGAAGTGTTATTTTATTAATAATACTACTTTAAAAAAAAAAAAAGAAAATAACTTGATGCAATCAAATCACATGTTCATATTTTTTTTTGTTTTTGAAAATTTCTTACTAAGAGAATTGCTGAATTAAAGTTGCATGTGTGTGCATGTGTTGGGAAGAAGTGCTGATTCCAGCGCAGAGTGGCTGTACTCCTTCCTCATCTCCACTCACAAAAATGCCATCTTTTATCTGCTCAGACCTGACATGGAGATTCAGGTCAGCGGCCAGGGACTGTCAGCATATTGCAGTGGATACCCCTGCCTAGCCCAGGTTCTCTTTTCAACTTGTCTGCGAGGCAAGAATGGATACAGATGTGAGAGTGAGAGGAAGTCTGCGGGAAGCCGGGTGAGGCAGGCTCATCCCTCATCACTCTGTGCGCACAGAGAAGCACAGGCCCTCGCTGGCAATAGCAAGAGGAGTTAACTAATGTGCCAGGAGTGGTGGATGGCCCATGGGACCACCACTGAATGCATTTCAGGTCACAATGAGGAAAATGATTCTTAAACATTTGGAAGTAACCTGCTGCTGTTTTTCTGAATGAATTAATGAAATCTCCTAATGAATGAGTCTGTGCACTGATAACATACAAATGTGTAACTTTTATCACGTCTGTCTTCCAAGATGTAGTAAAGGGGCACGGGCAAGAGCAAAGGCTGCTGATTGGATACAAAATAAATAAGACATAGAAAAGGAAATACAGATTTATCTCATATAGGTGATTTGAATAATAAGAGAGGTCAGATGATCAGAAAAGTGTGTAAACTGTGAAGTGTTAATAATTCTAGCTGCTATTTTAAGTGTAGTTGGAGAGATCTTTCTAAATTTCAAATCAGATTGTATCACTCTCCTTATTACCCTTCAACGGTTTTCCACGGCCCTGAGAGAAAGCCAGAACTTTGCAGTAAACCATGCATTACCTCTGCTAATTTCCAAAAGTCACATCCTTCAAGAATCTGCTCTGCTTTTCAACATATCAGTTCTTCAGAACATAAGAATTCTCTCATCTCTAGATCTTTGCACATGTTTTTCCCTCTGTGTAGAGCTGAACTGCCCAGTGTGTTAGCCACTAGGCTCATGTGGCTATTTACATTTAAATTTGAAAAAAATTAAAATGAATGAACTCCATTTAGTTCCTCTCATGCATTAGGTACATTTCAAACCTGCCATAGCTGTATGTGGCTTGTGGCCACCATATTGGAAATTGCAGCTGTAGGCCATTCCTTTATTGCAGAGGGTTCTATTAAATACCTCAAGTTTATAGCCACCATTTGTTGTTGTTGTTGAGATGGAGTCTTGCTCTGTTGCCCAGGATGGGGTGCAGTGGCATGATCTTGGCTCACTAAATCCTTCGCCTCCTGGGTTCAAGCAATTCTCCTGCCTCAACCTCCTGAGTAGCTGGGATTATAGGCACGCACCACCACACTGGGCTAATTTTTGTATTTTTAGTAGAGATGAGGTTTCACCATGTTAGCCAGGCTGGTCTCAAACTCCTGACCTTGTGATCCACCCGCCTTGGGCTCCCAAAGTGGCAGGGATACAGGCATGAGCCACCGTGCCCAGCCTATAGCTACCTTTACCTTCTGACTTCATCTTTAATTTTTCAGCTTAGCTATCACTTCCACAAGGAAGTCTTTTCTACCTCTATCTCATGGCTTCAATAAGAGTTGGGTTGTCCTTTTTTATTACCCCATATAAAAGTTGCCTATATGTTTTTTTTTTCTGAATTTTCTGATCTAAGATGAATCTGATTTTCTGATCAGCTCATGAGGTCAGGGACTTGTCTTCTGAACTGATCAGCATTATGTTGTGCACATGGAAGGCAAACACCAGTGAAAACATAATGGAGTGTTTATTAGGCACTATTCTAAGCACTTTATATGTATGATCTTACTTAATACATGAGTCAGTACTATTTATCTCTTTTAGTACATAACTGACTACTGTTGTTATCCCAATATTACAAACAAAGAATCTGAGGCACAGAGAGGTTAGACCACTAGCCAGGATCTTACAGACACCCAGAGGAAGAGGAGAGGGTGGGGCCAGGCAGCTGGGGCCAACTTAGGCTCTGAACCTCCATGCCCTTGGTGTTCAAACAATTTTTGTTGAACAAACACAGGAGTGCCTATGAATAGGCAATAAAGTAGACAGTAGTCACTCTTTCCTACCATCACTGTTTCATTAATTGCACTGATTTTTCTCCCCAGTCTGACTGTATAAAGCATTGTTTTCTTTTAATAAGTGTTTTATGCTTTCTCCTTCAGCCCTCAACTGTAGGGTGAATAAAGATGGCATATTATACTCCCTCTACAAGTAAGAAATCTGACGTCTAGAGAGGACAAGCAAGATAAAAGGCTAGTGGGCTGATACTATAAAGTCAAAGTAAGAGACAGCGTTGGCAACTATTCAAGTGACATGATGCACATGGGCAATGAATCCAAGTTATCAACTTTCATTTTCTTTGGCATTAATGTCTTAGTTTTCTCACTGCTCAAGTCATATTAAATAGCAATATCATTTCTTTCTCATAACTGCATGTGTTGCTAATACTATTTGTTAGAATGAAATAACTAGACATTGTTTTCAACAAATTAAGATGTCTACAAATAGGTCCCCAATCAGACATTAGGGCTCATGACTACTGTAACAGTACAGCTATTAATAAATCAATACTGTGGTTAGGTCCATAGACTCTTTTTACTATTTCAGATTGAATGTTGATCCCACAAAAAAGAGATTTTTCTTTAAGGCAAATTTATTTAATACAAAATTTAGGTTTAACTGAGATTCTCTTTACAGCTGAAGCTTGAGACTATATCTTTCGGCAGGGTCCAAATACATAAGGAAATATGAAAATGGAGAGTTAATTGAATCCCTATGAGACTATATCCCATTTTGTTGGAAAATCAAAGCATCAGCATGGATGAGTTGGTGTTCTGGATTTTGTGTGCTCAAAGTAATAGCTACCTAATGCTTTGAGGACTTAATATCAAGTAAGTAATAATATATGAACTTTACCTATATTGACCCCTTTATTCTTGTCAAGAAATCTATAAGGTTATTATCTTTTTATGCAGATGAGAAAACTGAAGCATAGTGCTATAATAACTTCCCCAAATCATACTGCCAAGGAGTGACAGACTGTGATTTGAACTTACGTAATCCAGTTCCAGAGTTCATTTTCTTAACCACTGTTCTTTATTGCCCCCTCTCCATCAACAGGTCCAGACACACATGCATAAATACATACAGGGTTTTAGAATGGTTTCGCTTAAAAAGTGAGAATTATAAAGACCTTCCTGTGTTTTATTGGAGGGTGCCATCTAAAAGGAAAATGCAGTTTGGATTGTCATCAATGCAGATTTAAAAGGAGAAAAACTGCTAAATAGAAAACTACAAGAAGAATTTAGCTATAAAGAAGACTATCAAGGAAAAAATAATTTATAATCTAGTTTTACTTTTATTTTCCTACTCTTCAATATATCACTTTTGTCCAGTGGTAGCAAAATGCTTCAGTTGGTATTTAGAAAAAATTTCTAAGTTGGTGACACTTAATAATGCATATTGGCCGGGCACTGTGGCTCACGTCTATAATCCCAGCACATCGGAAGGCCAAGGCGGGCAGATCATGAGATCAGGAGATGGATACCATCCTGGCTAACATGGTGAAACCCCACCTCTACTAAAAATACAAAAAATTAGCCGGGAGTGGTGGCATGCGCCTGTAGTCCCAGCTACTTGGGATGCTGAAGCAGGAGAATTGCTGGAATCAGGGAGGCAGAGGTTTAAGTGAGCCAGGATCATGCCACTGAACTCCAGCCTGGGTGACAGAGCAAGGCTCTGTCTCAAAAACAAACAAACAAAAAGAGTGCATATTGGTTTTTAAATAACCTTGTCTGGCTACTAGAAAAAGTAAGGTAGCTTAAAAATATATTTACAGTTCTTTATTAGCAAACAGTTCCAGTCAAAACCCCGGTGTAATTTTTCTCCTAATCACAAAGTGTCACTAAAGACATTTTGTAAATAGATCGACTGCATTTTCTTGGGAGCTATTTATAAAGAGGGTACAATGGTTCATCCAAGTGTTTGGTCACCTTCGTTACTTAGCAGGATTGACTAGAGATCCGATCTGCCCAACTGTGTAATCTGTCTTTTACATGAGAGAGAATCAGAAAACCCGGACGCTACCAAAAATGTCAATTCAAGTGAAAGGAAAACATATCCTGGCTTTTGAAGACCGTGAAGTAGCTGAAAAAAGATGATGGGTGTTTTTGACTCTAAAGCTCATTCTAAGGCGGGGGAAGAAAAAAAAAACAGCAGATCACTTTGCTTTTCCAAAGAATGCTTTTGAGAAATGTAGCATTCCACAGAAGAACACAAAACAGCTACAGCTTTCAGATGCAATTAAAACAACTGCTGACATTATTTAGAGCTAAACTACAGGCAAGGAAAACACTGAATGACCCAAAATCATGTATGTGGCATTAAAAAACATATATATATATATATTGAAATGGGGGAAACAGATTCAGAAGAATGATTTGTAAGGATGTGGCTAAAACTATTTATATACCAGGTTCTATTTGTTTTACAGCTAGTGGTGCACGGACAGCATGAAAGGTTATCTTTGACAAGGTTTTAGCTATTATTTTCTTCCAGTGAAATGGTATTTCTTGAGAAAAAAAGGTCTTTGGAACAAAATAACAATAAATCCTGATTTAGATACATAAACCTGCCATTGATATCACATAATATCAGTGTTCTTTCTCACTCGATACAGGCGTTTTAAAGATAAATGGTAAAACTGAACTGGAAATCCATCTGGCCGGCTGCCTGCTCTAATGAATAACCCCACTTTGGCTCGTGCAATGTAAGCAGAAAGTTCTCTCCCGGCCTCTTTCGTCTGTCATGAATCTACAAGACAGCCGACATAATATCTGGGCGACAACGGTGCGCTAACAGTGCAGTGACTTCCATTTTCTTTGCTTTCTATTGATTTTCACTTAATAACTGGCGAAATACTAAACGTCCGCCCTGAGTACCTAATAAATCCTGCCTGAGCTTTTTATTGAGGAGAATTTAATAAAAACAACCATTGCGGCTGAGGGATTTTTCTTCTGGACAGAACATAGGGGTAGGGTACAGCGAGGTTGGGGCAAGAGGAAGCCATTTGATTTTTTTTTTTTTTTTTTCCAAACAGGACGTCTTCCCTTTGGAAAGCAGTGCAGTGACAGTGTCAAGGGTGCCTGTGTGTTTGCGGCATGTTCCTTCCAGAAGCAGCTGTAAGTGCCACCTCCAGGCCATCTGGCCAATGTGAGAAAAGGTGGTTGCAATGGCTTGGCAAAAAACAACTTTCTGGTCCTCTGGTGTCCCCTTATAACTGATTTAAACATATGTGCAAGGACTTCCTTATTGCTATCAGTGGCTGTCAAAAATTTATAAGCATATTCATTTCTCTGTTCAACTTAATTGGTATTTTGGATTTGACACTAGGAAAGCAAGTTTGACTTGCGTGTTAAGAGTCCAAGGATATCACCCACAAAATTCTAGACAATAAGAAAGGGTAAGTGTCTGAGGAGAGAGGGCACTTACAAGTTATTCCATTGAATCCTAATTTGAGGCTTCCAAATTCATTTTGGGGCAATCAAAGAGAAAGAACTCTAAGCATGGCTTTTTAAAACACTATAAAAAGGATTCCTGGTATAATAGAGCTCTCTAATTTGATTGAAGAGCACATAGACTTCTAGAACAAGTTGTATTTTTGATGCTTAAAAAAAAATCTTTTTTTTTCTGTGATGTGGTCTTTTAAACTCATAGCATACCTTATAGCTCCCTCTACTTCCTATATTTTAATTGATCTTGAGGTTATTTTCCTGTCACTGGGCTTAATGAACAAGTATTTTAGAATTTCTTCCTGTATATATCTTCATTCCTATCTCAATAAAATGTCTAATCAAGAATTCACGTGTAGAAAATAAAAAATAGAAGCACATAGCCTTAAAGTGAAGTTAGTTGTTTCTGTTATTTTATAAAATCCATGGACCTCAAGTTTGAGTATCATTATTATAAAAAACATAGCCACTCAAGCCATGTGTGACACACTCGCTCATTAACTGTGCAGCTTTTCCTATAGAATATGGGAATATGGGGCAGAGGCCATGTGATAAGATGCAGGCTTCTTGTCAATGGACCCAAATTAAAATACTAGCTTTTCCTATTTTTAAGTTGGGTTACTTTGTCCATTACATGGAGTTACTCTTGCCCAACTAGCATGGTTGACATCATCTCACCAAAAATCAATAAATGTATGGGTGCTCAAGAAATGTTGTTGATTTATTTCAAGGGGGTGCTTCAATAATGAGAAGTAGTTAAGCAACTGGGTTAGGGTTTGAAATTGGCCAAATCTCAGAAATCACCCTGATCTGACTTAACTCTTCTCTGCCTCAGTTCCCTTTTCTCTAAAATGGAGCTAATATCAAAGTCTTTGAAACTATGGAAAGAATTAATGCATATTAAGTCCTTAAGAAAGTTCCTGATGTAAACTGTGGACCTGGGGTGACAACAGTGTGTCAGTGTAGGTTTATCAATTGTAACACGGGGGAGGAGACTGGACTGGGAGAAGGGGTGGGGGCGCAGGGGCTATATGAGAAATCTCTGTAACTTCTACTCAGTTTTGTTGTGATTTCAGGTTCACATCTATTTTGAAAAGTTTCCCTGCACATAGAAAACATTCCATCAATGTTGGCTCTTACGATTTACATATAGTGCAAAAAAACAAAAACAAAAACAAAACTGAAAGCAATTTGTGAATCCTTGCAGAGAAGAACTGGACCATTATTATCCTTTCTGATGATGGGGATTTCATTTAGTTTAGATAGCAATGCCTTTTTCTTAATGTCAATTTTTCTTTTTGAGTATTGTATCCTTTCTGTGCCCAATTCTTGGTGAAAGGGGAAATGGAAGTAAAAACCTTAAAAAGTTTCCTTTATCTGATCATTTGGTGTCTCCTCTTTTTCAGAGCAGTCCCCCTCTTAGATTCTTGTGAAACCTGATGTGTTCTTCCCTGGGCAGAACATGTTGATTTCATTGTGTCAGATAGGTTAACATTGGAGAAAATTCAGCAGCTCACAGTGTACATCCCCAGGTTACAATGTGGGGATGGAAGGTTCAGACGTGGAATGCTCAGGTATTTGCCAGACTGCTCCATGTAAGACCTCTAATCACTTCAAATAAAGGTGTATTGCTATTCAGATAATGTCTTCCCCCGCTCAACAAAAGGTTGTTGTACTGAGCTGTGATTGTGACAAATGATTTACTATTAGGAACATTCTGTAATTATTGTTCGGAGGGACCGCAGACTGATACATCATTAACATGATAGACGGCCTTTTATATCAGCAAAAATAACTAAATTAATAAAAATGGCTTCATTCCAATCCCTGTCAGAAAGCCAATACTCAGAACAATCAAGCAGCAGTGATACCTGAGAAAGCCATAGTTTATATCCCTCAACAAATCAGGTTTTATGCATAAGTAATGAAATATTTGTATATATAATCTCTATAATATGGATCTGTATAATACATGAGATATTATGGATATCAGCTCTAAACAAAAATATAGGATAGATATTTTCTTCCAAATGATTTAGATTTAAATTTATGTTTGGATGCAACTGGATTGCAGTTTTAGAATAATATTAGAATTTGCCTTTGACATCTTTTCTTTCATGATGTCTTAAGCACTGAGAAACATCAATGTAGAGTTTACAGACTAAGATTTCTTTCTTTTTTCCTTTATTTTTTCCTTTCTCCCTTCCTTCCATCCTTTCTTTCTTCTTTCTTTCAACCCTTTCCTCCTTTCTTTCTTTTCATCAACAAACTCCCAATTTATGCTTTAAATCCTTAGTCTCACATTTCTGACATTTCTACCCAGAATGAGGAAAAAAATTTACATTTATGAGTACTCTGTTGAAATAGATGTATAGAAACAACATGCAGGCCATAGGCATTCATATAAAAAACCTTTAAGGTCTACCTGAGTAGAAATCACAGTTATATTTCTAGGTTTCTGTGCACTTTAGTACTGAAAATAAAATTTCAATTAAAAAATGGACCATTATAATAATGGGGACCTGCATGGAAATCAAAAACTAGGAGTTCTCAAGAAATCAGAGAAGGGATAAAACAGAACGCAACTGTTTTCTATTCTTTTCTTCCTTCCTTCCTTTCTCTCTTTCAGTGTATTTTTGTCCACAATCTCACATCCAAAACTCTTGGGATGAGATGTGTCCTGTAATTCAGAACTGTTAGTCTTACAATAAAATTGAGAGGAAGGGATAGAGATTTCCCATATATCCTTCTTTTATTATTTATTTATTCATTTATACATTTATTTATTTATTTATTTATTGAGACAGAGTCTTTCTCTGTGGCCCAGGCTGGAGTGCACTGGCATGATCTCAGCTCACTGCAACCTCTGCTTCCCAGGTTCAAGCGATTCCACCGCCTCAGCCTCCCGAGTAGCTGAGATTACAGGCATGCAACACCACGTTCTGCTAATTTTTGTATTTTTAATAGAGACGGGGTTTCACTTTGTTGGCCAGGCTAGTCTCAAACTCCTGACCTCAGGCGATCCATCACCTTGGCCTCCCAAAGTGCTGGGATCACAGGCATGAGCCACCACGCCAGGTCTTTATATATCCTAACGTTCTCACATGCAATGCCTTCCTGCTACCTATATCCCCCACGAGACAGGTGCCTTTGTTACAACTGACAAACCTACAGTGATAAATCATCACCATCCAAAGTCCACAGTTTACATCAGTGTTCGTTCTTGGTGTACTTTCTCTGGATATTCCAAGTCATGATACATTTGTTCTTTTGCACATTTTCAACAAGAGGGTTGTTCCACTCTTTTATTAAACAAAATAGAGACAGGGCCTTTGCCATGTTGCTCAAGCTAGTCTGGAACTTCTGGGCTCAAAGCATCCACCTGCCTCAGCCTCCCAAAGTGCAAGGATTACAGGTATGAGCCACCACTCCTGACTTTTTCCACTTTTTGCAGGAGCTTCAAAATAATAGAAGTCACCACTTAATGGATACTCAGTAAATATACTTTATTGGTTGAGTAACTAGTATTATAACATGGTAGCATTTTAGAAATGTGCTCCTGTGACTTCATACTTCTACAGAAGTTGGAAGGATCTACATGCCTCAACCCCTGATAAATTTTATTCACTGACAAATTTGTTCTCAGAAATGCTCATGTCTTTGCGGAAAAGGTATAAAAATAGTCTACAATTGTCTACATAGTAGGTATTTTGTTAAGTAAAGACATTGTTTTCAAAGCTAGATTTCTATCTAAAATGATTTTGAAAAATATTATCATAGCTCAGTTCTTCCAATGCCATTGGCATTAAGTGAAATCAGTGTTAGTGGCTGGCTATAATGGGAAGAGTTGTAAAGAACTGTAGCTCAAAGATACTGATATGATATGAAAAGTTTTTTTTTTTTTTTTTTTGAGATGGAGTTTAGCTTTGTGGCCCAGGGTGGAGTACAATGGCGCGATCTCGGCTCACTGCAACCTCTGCCTCCTGAGTTCAAGTGATTCTCCCACCTCAGCCTCCTGAGTGGCTGTGATTACAGGCACCCGCCATCATGCCAAACTAATTTTTGTATTTTTAACTGAGACGGGGTTTCACCATGTTGGCCAGGCTGGTCTCGAACTCCTGACCTCAGGAGATCCACCTGCCTTGGCCTCCCAAATTCTGAAACCAAACAAAGGAAGAATATTGTGCAAGGTGAGGGGAGACATCCAGGTAAGGGATCTGGCGCGACCTTTCCTGGTAGTCAGTGAGAGAATCATGCAATTGTTTTTAATGGCTAAAGCTTGATTGAGACCTATTTTAAAACTTGCCTTTTCTGCTTTGGCCTTCTCTTAAAGGAAGACAAATGCCCTTGAAAAGGAGTCTTAAAAGTATGATTCACGGACTTGGGAAGAATTACAGGATGCAGACAGCCTAGAGTGGTGCCTCCTCCCCCCAAAGGAGTTCACATTTCCTTCCTCTTAATCTGAGTGAACCATTAAAAAGTTAGTCAGTTCCCTGGAGACTCTTCCCAAGGAATCTCCTAAAAGGAAATACCCTGCACTGGAAAGGTAATTTACCTAGACAGGATTTAAAAAGCTAAGTTCGAGTTCAGAGATAACCAGTGACTTTCTGTGGGGTGGTGTATTGCTCCTTTTAAGAATTCACCCCTGAAGTTAGTTAACAAATCGAAAAGGTAGGCAGAACAACATCAAGAAAGAACACACTACCCCCCCTTGCACATTTTATTTACTTACTTTTATATGCAATTAAGTCCTCAAACATATAGTTTCCCTGCTGTTGTAATATCAACCTGTAAATATGCAATACATGATTTTTTTTTTCCTGAAAATAGGCTCATATTCAAACCAGGAACATTTTGTGTTCTATTCTGAGAATGTTTTTAATTATTTTAGCTAGTGGGAAAGCTCTTTTCTATGGGATAGGGATGTGGGAGGGGAACAAAAATCTGTGCTTTGGACCTTAGGGAGTGCTGCGGTAATTCAGTTTCTAAGGTCTTCAGGAAGCCGGACTTAGGAGTTGATTCCCTTTTATGGCTAAATAACTCTTATGAATTTGTCTTTTCAAAGTCCACTGGAAAGAGGAGTATGACTACAGAAAGCTGCAGCTGTGAATATTTGCAAAGCAGCTTGGTTTCCCATCTTTATCAACTCCTTCTCCCCTGCCCCCACCTCCAGCAACTAGTATCTTAGCATCTTATGGAGTAATATGATAGAACTGTCAAGAATGAATGAGGACTTTGGGCTGTATTAATTCCCATCGGCAAACTAATGTCTAATGTGTTGTAGGCTACAGAGGAGAAGTTGATCATTGCACTACATTTATCAATAATTTTTGCATTTTCTAGGGATAGGTTCATGGAAGGAATTTTACTGATGGACATGAGAATGCTGTAAAAATTTTGGTGCTCACATATGGTCAGAACATGCATTTGTTGTTTGCACACTTTTTCCTAGAAGAAAATGGAGAGGAACTATAAACATGGAGAAATGTGGAAAAAATCAAAATACTGGAGATGGCTTACATAGGGAAGCCTCTGGATATTGAAACAAATCAGGAAGGCTGGGTCAGGCCAGGGAAGACAGGACAGTACATTCTCATCTTTTACTTCTTCTAAAATTGGAAGTACAAGATTCTGAAATGCTGGTAGATTAAAAGAAAACAGCAAGCATCCTGTTGCCTCAAGGAGCTTAATGTTTTGTAGCCATAAGGCAGGATTCTCATATCATACTTTATTATCACAACCTAAAGAAAAAATGAAGTTTTGAAAATGCCTGGATTTGTATGTTTTCAATAACTAATACAACTCTTACTATGTGAAATGAAAGGCAGACCGTGGGAAAAATTTATGATTCTATTTATAGCCAAATTTAAATTATCTGATTATAGGGCAAAATTAGGAGAGAGAAACTTTAAACCTGTCCTCTTTAAACCATATTAAAAAATAGTGCCTAATTTGCCACTAAAAATAGTAAAACAACTCACATTTGATAAGCAATCTGTGTTATTTCTTGTCCTATGAACTACGAAAAAGAACAAGAAAAATTCTCCTGCTTTTTTTTCTTTTATAAAACTCAATCCAGAGCCTGCATATTATATTCACATTTTTCTTGCGTGCTTCCTTTTGTATGTTTTGGCCACACTGGTGGAATTTTCGATG